GTGAAGGGGGTTTGGCTGAGCAGGTATTTGTTGTTTCAGAGATTTATTGTTGAGTCACAGAGTGTTCTGTGTTGGAAGGGACCCACAGGGATCTTCAAGTCCAACTCTCAAGTGAATGACCAGTGTGGAATTACAGGATGGTTTGAGTTGGGAGGGACTTTAAAAACTATCTTGTTCCAACCCCCTGCCATGGGCAGGGACACCTTCCACTAGATAATGTTCCATGAAAATAAAATAAAATAAGATGAAATGCAATCTTAGAATCTCATCGAATCACAGGATGATTTGGGTTGGAAGGGACTTTAAAGACCATGTTGTTCCAACCCCCTGCCATGGACAGGGACACCTTCCACTAGAATGTTCCATTAAAATAAGATAAAATAAAATCGTAGAATCTCAATAAATCACAAGATGGTTTGAGTGGAAGGGACAGTAAAACTCATCTGGTTCCACCCCTGCCATGGGCAGGGACACCTTCCACTAGCCCAGGTTGCCCCAAGTCATTTAATGAGGCTGGAGTTGTATTTCCTTCCTTGGCCCCTTTCTGGCCTTTCTGCTTGGTTTTAAAGGGAAAGAGCAGCTGCTGTAGGATGAGGGGGAAGAGAAAAGGAATCTTCCTGGCTTCTTGCAGCAAGGCAGTGCTTTCCTGCAGTGAACTGAGCAATGTTCCCCTGGTCACCCATGTTCTGTGGGCAGAAAAGGTGTTTGTACCGTTATCAAACCTCCTGGTATCTAAAGGCTGGTGACTTTTTTCTCTGGGAAGCTGTAGGCAAAGTAGTTATAATTCCAGTTCGAAAAATTATGAATTTCTGAAAGTGGCTGAACAAAAGAAATGTTGGCTGGAGGGGCTGTCAGAGATCTCCCATCCAGCCATCTGTTTGCAGGAGGGGTTACCACCAGCTCTAGATCAAGTCAGCTTTGTTATTTTCCCCAGCTGTCTCTCGAAAAAGAGACATCCATCCACCCACAGCCTGTCTGGGTAGAGAGCCCTGCTTTCAGAATAAGCACAATTACCATAACTACAGAGTTTTAGTTGCTAAAAGTCTTTTTATAGCATTAATCCTGGAGACGTGGCGCTGCTGCTGAAGGCTGGAGCGTGGTGTGGGGCCATGGATGGGCTGTTCCATGGTGCAGTTGGTCAGGTTTGAATGGAAGGGCCAAATTCAGCTGTTAGAGGAGAATGATGTTGTAAACGAGCCCAAAAATGGTCTTGGAAACACTTTATTGCAAACAGATGCACCAGGAGTTGACTTCTGGGTGCGGGAGAGGGAGTTGAGCAGCCAAAGCTGTCAGGTTGGAGATGATCTGTGGCATTAGAATGTCAGCTGGCATTTCCAGCTCCAAGGAAGGACTGTTTAGGGGTTCCTTGTGGCAGCAGGAGTCCCTCCAGGGTGTGGTCCAGGCTGTGGCACTGACTGGGCTGTTCTGGCAGGTGGAGAGCGGGTGAGCTCATCCGGAGCGTCCCACCAGAAGTCCTCCCCCAGCTGAGGGCCAAGGTGGCTGCCATGGAGGTGCTGAAGGGTCACAGAGCTGACATTGGCCTCCAGAGGGCCTGGCAGGGGAATTACATCGCTCTGGTGAGTCTGAGGGACTGGCACAGTCCCTGGGGCAAAGGGGCCAAAAGGGTGGAAATCTGGAGAAATGACTGTTGGTTTCCTGGAAGGGAGAAGTACTTTGGGATCTCCTGTGTAAATGGGTTTTGGTAGTTCGGACTCCTGACTTCCACTGCTCCAGGAGTGATTTTTCTGAGTTCTGGGCAGCGCCAGCAGTTAAAGGTGGTGAGCAGTGCCATGGGCTCTGAAATGGGCCAGGGCAGACCTCAGTGGAACACTAAAATGCTGGATATAGTGGGAAAAGGCATAGAATGAACAGGAACAAACCTGGGCAGGTTTGATTGCTTCCCTTTGCTCTCTTTCCTTTAAGGGTTGCTCAGTGCAGGTTTGGTTTCACAAAGACAGAACTCCCTGGCGAGGCGCGGGCGGGAGGGAGCCTGGTCACTGCCATCCCCCTGCCCTCAGTCCCCAGGGAGGGTCCTGAGCCTGTGTTTGCTCTTCCAGAAGCCAGACAGCCCCCAGAGCTCGGGCTCCTTCGTCCCTGTGGCCAACGAGCTGAAGAGGAAGGACAAGTACATGAACGTCCTCTTCTCCTGCCACGTCCGCAAGGTACCACATGGGCTGCAGGGAACTCCCTGCATCCAGGGAAACCTTGGGAAGCCAAGGGCAGGGGGGTGACCCTGGGGATGTTTGAACAGGCAGCAGGTCAAAGCAGTC